AAAAGCAAATGGCAGCACGCATCTGAATGCGGGCACATGCAGTCTGATGAGCCTCTCTGCCTCCATTTCATTTGCTTCAAGCAGGAATAAATGCAGACTCCTGTAGAGCCTGGATTATAGACACATCTCTGGAGGTTATTGATAACTTGGCAACTAATTTATAGTTGGTTGAGGGGCCGGCCCGGTGGCGCAAGTGGTTAAGTGCACGCGCTCCGCTGCAGCGGCCCGAGGTTCACCGGTTCGGATCCCGGGCGCGCACCAACGCACCGCTTGGCAAGCCATGCTGTGGTGGCATCCCAGATAAAGTGGAGGAAGATGGGCATGGATGTTAGCCCAGGGCCAGTCTTCCTCAGCAAAAAGAGGAGATTGACAGATGTTAGCTCAGGGCCAATCTTCCTCACAAAAAAAATATATATATAATTGGTTGAATCCTGATGGTGACTATTATTTGGAAAGAAAATTTTATGAAGTTTAGATTTCATCAGCATTTATATGAACTTGGCCTTTTGCCCAAACCTACGTGTCATGGTTTCCAGTATTGCTAATGTCTCTATGTATTTTGGTTATATCTAAAGACAACTTAAAAGCTTAATTCAGAGCCCTCTGTCTTGTTTGTATGCCATCCTTTTGAAGATGACTAATGCCACGAAAACTGCTCTGAAATGGAAGTGCCAGGAGCTAAGTTTTGCAATGAGAGCGTGAACTCTGCAGGGAAAGGGGGTGTCCATTTCTTCTAGTCCATTTTAAGCTCATTTGTGCAATTGCTGCCTTCTCAATATTACTGCATGACTCCTTTGATCTTAAAGTGGAAGGAAGCAAATTTCATGAGCCAGGAAAACTCCTCAAGTGGCTTTAAAAGGAGCCACATATTATCAAAATGAGTAGATGTCAAATAAAATATAAATTTGAATCTTTTGAAATTTGCACTCAAGTAAGTATTACTTTTAGAGCCAAGCACGTGGAGAAGCTCAGGGATAAAATTGCTGTTGTTTGACATTCCTTAAATTGAGTATTTGGGTCAAGTTGTTGCCCAGTCATATCCATCCTTTATTGAATATTGTACTCAGCATTATACTCCAAGCTTTACACATTTAATCCTCATAACAACATTATGAGGTTATGTCCCCATTTTACAGACGAGGACACTGAACTCTAGGGATTTATCCCTGATTCAGAATTCCATTTTTTTCCCACCCCTTGGCCTTCTCTACCTGGATGGAGAAGAATGTACACATGGATTGCTAAAACAGTCTTCTTCGCTGTAGGCATATTTCAAAGCTGCCCAAATCGCTTAGCTTATATCTGTGAATTTTTTTTTTTTTTAAAGCAGCAAGTGATTGAAACAGTGAGTAGAAGGGATTATTTCAGTTAGAGTTGTGCCTTCCTGGAACAAACCCACTTATTAGCATGCTGTTTGGATTCCCACCCTGAGTTTTGGGACCAAGTCATAGACTGGAGAGTAAGCTCAGTAGTGTTAGTAAGTTACTTTGACCAGCCAATAATCTCCATTTTTCCTCTCCCTTTCTCCTCATATATCGTCTCAACTTAGCCACGTAAGCCAGCAAGGGAGGCTGTGGAGGTGAATGGGTGTTGTAGAAGGCTTTTCATTTATGAGGTTGCTTAGAATCTAGGGTCAGGCCCTTGAGCTGGAATTAGACCAGGGTTGAGTAATGAGACACAGAAATACTGTAGTCAGAAGTGACCAGAAATTGAACCTGCATGGGCTACAAATGCTATCGTGGGTATAAGTCATGGAGGATTAGGAATACTTTCTTTGAGCTTTCACATCATCAAATAAGACTAAATGCATTAAAGGGTCCTCCTGACTATAAAACATCTACAAAACAAAAGCAGTTAGGATAAAAAATTGGGATTATTTATGCAATGTTGCCGTGGTAGAGGAGGGGTAGCACAGTTTCGGAGAAGCACGTGAGTTGATCAGGTTGACAGCAAATGTTGTGTCTTGTGATGTGGAATCTCACTGAAAAACCTTTAAGACAAACCGTAAGCAAAATGTATGGGTTAAGAAAATTATTGCTGTCATAGCCTGTCCCCCATCTTCTACCTCTACACACACTCGTAGAAGTTCTAACAGCTAAATTTTACTCTATAACAGATGATATCGATTAGCTAAAACAACAATTATTTTATTACTTTAGGATTTTGTAGGTTAGCTGGTCAATTCTTCTGGTCGAGGCCAGCTCGGCTGGGCTCTGCAGACTGCAGGTGGTTCATTGGAGGCTGGATGGTCTCGAGTGGACTCACTCTCCTATCTGGTAGTTGGCAGGCTGGTGGGTCTGGAATGATCTCAGCTAGGACTGCCTGTGTCTGTTCCATGTGGTCTCTCATCCTCCAGTAGGCTAGCCTGGGATTCTTCACCTGGTGGTCTCAGGATTTCAGAGCAACAAGGGAGTATAAACCCAAATATTCACCCAGGTCCTATATAAGCCTCTCTTGCGTCATGTTTGCTGATGTTCCAGTCGCTAAATCAAGTCATGTGGGTGAAGCCCTGTTTCAAAGAGTGGAGAAGTTGATATACACTCTTGATGGGAGGAGTGGCTCAGTTAAATTGCAAAGGTGCATGTGACAGGGACGGCAGGAGTTTGTGGTCATTCTGCCATTTCCCACAGATATTAGAATAACTGCGGGTAGTTAAACTAATGTTAGCATCTCTATCAGACTGAATCTGGAGGAAGGAGAAGGGAGACCATGTTTTTGTCTATAACTCCAATTTGATATGGCATATTTCTCTGAGCTCTTATTTTATTCTATCACTTGTGAAATTTGGCCATGCTTCCTGGTAGATTCTCTTATGTTGCTTTCTTAAATTGTGATTCCATTTTTGACCATGTTTTAAAGATTTGATCAGTATTTGCTATGGTGCAAATATGATTTTTTCATTTTGGTGTATTCTGTGGATGTTTGCCTTTCAAGAACGTTTCGTGTTTCAACCAGTGTGTTAAATCCCTGGCTAGAGCTTCCTGTCAGGAAATTTGGAGGTTCACTCATGCCAACTCCCAGAATTCCACCTTTGTGATCTGATACACTAGGTTCCTATGCACTGATTTTTTTTATATACCTGTAGTGTTTATGATGTAGTACCAAATTCCACATTATTTTATTAGTCTATAAACATAACACCATACATAATGACACCTGTGTTTGAATTTAGTCATAACTCAGCACTCCAGACACTAACATGTGATCACTGTTAACTCATAGAGCCTCTAACCTGGGTTTCTGAATCTCAAACTCTGCACCATTGACATCTTGGGCCAGATCATTCTTTGCTGTGGGGGACTATTCTGAGTATTAAGGAATGTTTAGCAGCAGCCCTGCCTCTGCCCACTTGATGCTAGTAGTGCACCCCTCCCCGCCCCCACTTGTGACAACCAACAATGTCTGTGGACATGGCCAAATGTCCCCTGGGTGGGGGTAGGGGGTGGGAGATAGGTACATGCACCTCCAGTTGAGAACCACTGCTCTAACCTGGAGATGCTGAGGCAGGAGAGAGAAAGAAATGCATGAAGTGTGGGTTATTATCAAAGCGCAAACTAGGAAAAGCAACTCAACAGGGAGAATCTCTAAGTGGGGAAGAAGTATGGAAAATTTTAAGTTACTTTAAAATTTAACCTAAGATAGCCCTAGATTCTTGTGAAATAACTAGGAAACATCAAGTTGGGTCTTGCTACACATTGAAAGTTTCATCAATATTATTATCATCATCAACTTCATTATGTTAGAAGTGGATTAAATGTAAATACCATCCCTGAAAAAAAATTGTGGAGCTATGCTGACCACAGATAATAGATTTTGAAAAACTCTTTCTTTGGCAAAAGTTAAACATACACAAAAGTAGAGAAAGTTGTATCGTGACCCATCCAATACTCATCACCCAAGTTCATAAATGATTGATTAATGGCCAGTCTTGTTGCATCTATACACTGCTCGCTTCTCCTGCTATCCGCTCCTGGATTAGTTTAAAGCAAATTCCAGACATCATTTCATTTCATTTGTAAGTATTTCAATATGTGTCTAAAAGAAAGTACCTAAAAACCAAAATTATAATATGCTGGTGAAATTTTAATCATCTGGAAAGGGTAAGAATGAGGATTTATGCTGAGTAGTATCAGAAAGTTAAGAGAGGCCGGCGCCGTGGCTTAGCGGTTAAGTGCACGCGCTCTGCTGCTGGCGGCCCGGGTTTGGATCCCGGGCGCGCACTGACGCACCATTTCTCCGGCCATGCTGGGGCCGCGTCCCACATACAGCAGCTGGAGGGATGTGCAGCTATGACATACAACAATCTACTGGGGCTTTGGAGGGAAAAAATAAATAAATAAAATCTTTAAAAAAAAAAAAAAAAGAAAGTTAAGAGAAAGAATGAGTGAGTGTCGAGATCAAAGAGGCTTGACTTTTGGAGGGATCAAAAACGCCAGAGGGAAATGAAGATGAGAGACACTGTCTCTTCGAGTCCTCTCCTCTCCTCTCCTGCTTTGAGTGACTCTTAGAAATGCCTCTTATAGTATGTGGTAAGGCATAGGGGACTGGGATCCTTAGAAAGGAGAGTAGGGTGGTAGGGAACAGATCCATTTTCTAAAAATAAGAGAAAAAAACACAATCACAAGAAGGTATTGAAATATTCAGTCCAAGACGGATTGCTCTCTGATGACTTTCAATGACTTTTTAGCTGATCAGGGTCTACTTTTAATAAAACAAAGCAAGAGGAAAGTCTTGCAGTTGCTTTTTAAGATTTTGCTGGGACTGTGGTATTTCTCTCCTGATGTATTCTGAGAAGTTCCTTTCTTTTGATTTAGACTTCCTCACTTGATTCTATTATGTCGTAAATCTCCTGTGTTTGGTGAGAGCCGTGGTATATGTGAGACCTAAGCAGCTTGCTAGATAACATCTATTTTTCCCCCCTTCTCTTTAGAAGATTAAACTGAGACTGTTGTGTCTGATGCCAGAATAGGTTTAACCAATCATGTTTCCTTTACATGTAGGTCAGTCCAAGGGACAATTCTGCACTGGATCCTATTATCCATGGGTTGAAGGGTGTCGTCCATCATGGTAAGTAAGCCATGTACGCTTTCTTTTGCTGGGATGTGAAGGGCTAAGGTCTCTGCCTAAAGGAATGGGGTTATCTTGCAGAGGACAGAAGGTGACACCCATTCCTCATCCACTGATGTTGAAGGGCATTAGAGCCGTTATTTGATGAGTAAAGAGCACGCCCATTTATTACCTGCAAATGGGTCTAGGTTAACAGTAAGCAATTTGTTTCTCTTCAGGTACCACTTTGAATGCGTATGTTATAAATCAGAACACCCTAAGATGTACTATTGATATGCGTTGAACCTGCCACTTGTCTCATCTCTCTCCTAAAAATATTCTACTTTCAAGTATCTTTTCATTTATAAATTTCTTGATTTGCCTCTCAGATTTAGGGGAAAAATTTAAGTAGCAGTGACAAGTCATTAAACTTTGCTGCCTATGAGCAAGCATCCTCAGCTACTAGAATGGAAAAAGCTAGGCCATGTCCTGTGGAGCACACGTCTTATCTTCAGGCATAAAACTGAGAGAGAAAGTAAGATAAATGGTTTCTGTCTTTCCCAACTGGTTTTTATTGGAGGAATTTCCCTGCAACTTTATTATCAGCAATGCATCATTACCTATGACATCAGGATCTTCTAATTTCAAAAGTACCCTTGTCACCAGGGAGGTGTGGAGTCTAGAGGTAATGTAATGATTTGCAAAGTTTTAATAATCTAATTAGAATTCCAAAGACATTGACAGAAACAGCATTAGTAGCCATAATAAATCTCCTCTTCATCTCCACGGCTGTGATAAAACGTTTTCACACCTTTCTGGGAGGATTGTCTTTCGACATTAGCCAACTCTGCAGAGCTTAACAAATATCTTTCCCTCTTTCTCTCAGGGAAACTAAAACTAGTTGTCAGTGTTCGGTTGAAGCAAGGGGGATTTTGGATTAATTGTTCTGCTCTTATAACTGTTCAATCACGAAGCAGGTGACAGTAATAAACCTAGTGAAAGTAGAAAAATAGGGTAACTGAAAACACATAATAGAGGTTTTCATTGTTGGAAGTTTCCATTGCTTCTTCTCCATTTCGGTTTGTGTCTCTGAAGTAAACCTCTCCCACAGAGCTGTGAAGTAGGTTGCATGACAGTTCCCCTAGGGAACAGAACACCTTTACCAAAACTGATCTGTCTGCACGTTTATGTTTTGATGTTCGTAGCAATAGTGGTGGTTTGGGGCAGTAGGGAAATTTGCATTGTACTCTGGGCAGCTTCAAATGTGCAAAGCAAGCTGGTGCCGTGGGCAACGTATTATGTATTCTGAGCTCCTTTCCTAGAAGATCCCCTTGAACACTCAGTTGATCAAACTCCTTGAAATTCGAGTCCATAGTGTAGATTATGAGTTTTACGGTTTTGAAATATAATAAATGATGGATAGATCTTCCTTCCCCCAACTCTTCTTCCTGTTTTAAAACAAAGATATCATAAAGAGTTCTAGAATCTTTAAAACAGGTACCTGTTCTTCAGCTGGAAAGGAAGCACTCCACCGACTCTGGCATTTGAGTAGATCTGTGTTCTTATTTTCACAGTGTTAATTGAAGGAGATTCCATATGTTAAAGATAAGCAGTAGGCTTCCTTTAGTGCTCAGATCCCCAGTTCTCAGTGAACTCGCTGCATAGTGATCATTTGGTTCATGAGCTGTGTGCTGGCATACTCGTATTATCCTTCCTCATTATCCACAATAACCCTCTAAGAGGCTGTCATATGTAGGGATACTTTACCCGGCACTGGGAGGGTGGCAGAGATGCTTGGGATGGTTTCAACCCTACCTTCCAATTGAGAAGTCAGAGGATAACTGCAAAAAATAATTACCTGTAGAGGAAGTTCACTTGTTTATTCAGCAGAAGTGTTGTGTGCTCATTCTTGGTAATTATGGAGTTGGTGCATTGATTCAGACAGACATAGGTCAGCCCTCATGGACCCAGAAGGGAGCAGAAGTGCTGCCTCTCACTTCCTCCAGCCTGCCTAGTATGTTACCCGTTCCTGCCTCTGCACTTGCTGCTTCTGCTTCCTCTGTCAGGAAAGTTCTTCCTTTAGCTCACAGCAAGAGTGTCTTCATCTTATGACTTCAGGTCTCAGTTCAGCTCTTGCCTGAACTGAAAGTTCTTTCTTAATTATTCTATCAAATTACCCATCCTCTCCCCACTCCCTTTCCTCCCTGTCACATCCTAGATTTTGTTCTTTGAAACACTTAAAAGTATCTGAAATAACCTTGTTTATTTATTTACTCATATATTACCTACTACATTGTAAGCATCATGAGGGCAAGAACCTGTGTGTGTGGTAAATAGTAGATTCTCAATAAATATTAACCGAATGAATGAATCAAGTAAACATACAAATAAGTGAAAATATCAAAATATAAAATTGGAAGAAGGGAAGGAGAAACTAAAGGGCACTTGGGTTTTGCTTTGATTGAGAAGAGAAAGGAGTAGGATAATGTCTTGGAAACATGCTTTTGCCCCCAGTTCTCGGGCTGTTGCTGACTTCCATTTTGATAACCCTCATCACTTGTCATTCTTCCAAAAGAAAATGAACATTTGAAATAGCTAAAAAAACTTTTGTTGGAACTAGAAGCATTTTCAGTTGAACGTCCTGTGAGGGATTTGAATGATCTGTTAATTTGATGGGACATAAATAATCGTGCCCTTCACAGAATCTCTGACTTGGGAATGATGATAGAGATGTGTAAAGAGAAAAAAATCAATATGAATTTCTGTTACAGTTCAGAATTGGCTTTTATTTCTTCAACTCTGGGAATCATATCTTAGAATATTAATTTCTCATTAAGTGAATGTTTTTTTAATAGGAAGAATCTTATATGTTCCTTCAGCTGAAATGGAAATGAGTAATCTGGTCGCAGTAGCCATCCATACTTGGCATCTGGTCTTTAGGGTCCTCTGTGAAGCAGATGCCAAGATGGAATTTTAAGTGCAGGAGAGTTTTTTGGCAGGGAGGGACTGCCTGGGAAAGATAAAGAGGAGAGGAGGCAGGATTAGGATTAGGAGGCAGGGGAGATGGTTGGGACAACAACGCGGGTCTGACATCTCCGAAGGGACAGGGAAGCTGGGAGGACTGGCTAAACGCAGCTCTAAGAAAGTCTTGGCCAGGCCGTCAGAGAGCCCCAGAGCCACGACTGCCCATGAGAGGAGTCCTGTGTTGGGCAGGAGTGGCCTGGCTCTAGTGCCCCCACCACGTTTAGTCATTGGCTGGAGCATCCCAGTGAGAGTGGCTTCAATGTGAACACCGTGTGGATCCTGAAGGTGCAGCAGCTGCAGGCTGTCAGCTAACAATGCTCTTCACGGCAGTTTGTCCCTGGAAGGCAGATCTTAGGGGTACACCCCCGTGGCTGATGTGGAGGTTCACATCTTCCTTCCAAAGACACCTTCCTAATCACATTTCTGAAAAGTTGTTCTACTTGGTCTTCTCACTTGTAAAATGCTCAGAGGTTCTGACAAGCAGTGCTGTTCCTTTTATGTATAGTTATTAAGTGCCTGATATAAGTACCGAAGCTAGGCATAGACAGCACAGCAGACGTGGACCGGCCCTCATGGAGTTTGCACGCTCTTGGGAGAGACATATGGTTAAGCGTGTAATTACATTAAAGAATGGGGAGCAGCAGATTTAACTCAGACTTGGGGATTTAGAGAAGACATCTCAGACAAAATGACCATGAAGACCTAAATAGTGCATAGAGATTGTCCAGGCAGAGAAAGGAGCATAGGGTTTCAAGCAGGATCAGTGTAGATGAAGGTGTCTGGTGGTGAGAGAAGATGTGGCATGTGCGAGGCTCTGAGCTTGACAGTGTTGCTTCTGTAACGCTGGGGAGAGATACCCTAGAAACCTCTTGGCAACATAAAATCTGTTTCTTACGTGTTCATTTTTCTATGTAAATTGTGATTTTTTTACAAACTTGAGAGCCATGAAGAAATATAAGTAGAATGGAGAGAGGTGATTTACCGTTGATTGTGGTCCTGTCTATCCATTGAGCAACAGATGGAAGCACTAAAATATATCTAATTAGGTATCTTATTTGCACTACCACCAAAATCCACTGGAGAGGAAAGATTTAGGGAGAAAGCGTGAATCCTATTCACTGCATTGACTCTGTCGTTTACAGTGCTTTTTATATACAAGAACCAGCACGTGCTAGTAGCCACACCTGATAGAAATATTGGTTCCAAACAACTTAGTTTAGTCCCAACTTTTTAAAAACCCACTAAAATAATAAACTTATATGTGAATTGGTATAAAAATGTAGCCTTCCCTTATAAATAGTTACACCCAATTGATCAATGCTAAGAAATGTGCATTATGTCCTCTGTCAATGGAAAAGTATTTATTTTGTTCCTTTCAGCTTTTTGGATTACCTACTTTCTATTCTTTTTCGTAGTATCCACCCAAAGAAACTCCAGCAGGCTGTTTGTGTACCTATTCTTGAATACTGTCAAAAAGGCATTGACATGGGGCCTGCCCAGTGGTGCAAGCGGTTAAGTGTACACGCTTCGCTGCGGCGGCCCGGGGTTTGCCGGTTCGGATCCCTGGCGCGCACCGACGCACTGCTTGTTCAGCCATGCTGTGGCGGCGTCACGTATAAAGTGGAGGAAGTATGGGCACAGAGCACAGGGCCAGTCTTCCTCAGCAAAAAAAAGAGGAGGATTGGCAGATGTTAGCACAGGGCTGATCTCCTCACAAAAAAAAAAAACAAAGGCATTGACACACTAACCACTGCCTCATGTCAATCATCTAAGGCCAGTTTTTTATTTCCGGAAGGAAACTTGGTAGTAGCAATTGTTTGGATGTTGAGCTCTGACTATCTGTCCCTCTTTCCCCATCCCCCTCCTCACTGTCACTTCCCTCTTCTGCTGAAGATACCACCTTGGTGAGCAGGAAGGTATCTTTCTCTTCAGAGGAAACGTGAGGGAGACAGTTAGAAATTGCCTCAGACACCATTCAGAGTGAGGTGGTTCTTCTC